TAGAGACGTTATGAAACAAATTGCTTGCATTTAGCAAATTGTTTCTAGTTGATTGCTTGAACATGAAAGACAGGTTTCACTGTGAACTGCTTGCGAAATCTGTTTGTTCCATGGGTGAAGTCAAGTTTAGTTTTTCCTCTTTGTTCATGCCGGCGGTTTTTGAAAATGCGAAGCAATGGCTTTTTGTATTCTTTTCGGCGTCGCCCAGGCCAGCCATGACCATGGAGGAGATCATCACCGAGGTGCATCAGGCACTTCCAAGTTTGATCTATTCTTCAAGATCATGCTTTTATAAGTTTGTTTTGATTTGAACTATATATTTGAGCGTTGGCCATTTTACTTGGTGCCTTCTGGCGTGGCTCATGCTCGCCGGACGTCCTTTGCGGGGCATGGCTCGCAGGATCAGCTTCACATAGCTATGTCTCGGACAGGTTGAAATGAAAAATGAGCATTCTGTAAAGCATATGTATGTACAGGTTATAGGTGGATGCAGGTAAGAACAAACTTTCGGTCACTTCTCTTCGTTATATAGAGCCATGGACTCTGCGCTCAAGGCCAAGCTGACTGAGATCTTGGATAGTGCGACTCAGAAGGGGCTTTTGAGTTCCATGGAAGTCGTATACGCTTTACTCAAGGAACATGGCTACATGTACCAGTTACATGTACATAGCAAGCTGATCGGAGTACATCAGGGCAACCGCGACGGATTCGGAATCGACCCTGAGCACTGCCACGCACTTGTGGACCGTTTCCACGACCTTGGATTTGTGCCTTCTGCTGGAAGATACATTGCAGTTGAGATCCCCATGGGACCTGAAGGTGAGGTCACTCGAGAGTTCAACAAACAGCTGGCAGCTTCATCCAAGGATCTGTTCCACGCATGGGCTTGTGATATTGTTTAGTTTCTGTAAAGAGCTCCGCCTCAACCATCACCTTAGCATAGGTTCTCTTCAGAATTGCGTAGGATCTTTTTTAGGTTTGCATATAGCTGAGGCTGCCGCCTGTCAATGACATCTTGAAGTATGCCTCAATCAGCGGAAGCCACAGCAACATGGTCCTTCGCTTGTGGCACTACAGCTGCAAGCACGGGCAGAACCTTCTCAGCGTTGATCAGCTACGTGCACACGACCCTGTCTACGCCTCAGCGGTGGAGCAAGGGCTTCAGTGGGAAGTCGTGTCTGCTGAGATTACCCAGTGTTTTCCGAGCTTCGTTTCTCTAGCACAATCTGCTCAGAACTCAATTGCTCAAGTGTGCCAGCAGGAGACAGAGCTTCAGCTTTGCAAGCGTGTGAAGGCCTGCATTCGAAGCGATGGCTCAATCGCGAAATATGAAGACATCGCCCCCATCATTTTGAGGTCGCAGCCACCCAACCCGGGCATTGTACCGTATCTGATGAAGTTTATCATGCGGTTTGGCTGTGCTGGAGACATGATGGAGCTCACCGAAAGCTTTGTGAGAACAAATGGCGCCTCTGGCAGATCGTTGGGCATTGACATGTGGGATTGCCTTTCAATGGAAGTGAAGCACCGCGACCAAGAGCAACTCATGCTCTGGCGGCAAGCCTTTTTGAAGGCCTTGTTGTGCCACCATGAGAAGTTGCTTTCCGTCAGTGACCTCCGCAAAAGCTTGATTTCCAAAGATGTTCTCCGCAAGATCTTGACGTTCGAGGACATGCTGGTCAACCTGAAGGCTCATGGTGCAAAGTTCACGGACTTGACCTCATACCAGCTGTTGCAAGGCCATGGCATCTTTGAAGTGAAAGCTGTGGTTCTGATCGTAGGCAAGAAGTCGAAGGAACCTGATGCGCTCTTCTTGAAAGTTGAGACTTTAGAAGATGCTGCGTTTCAATGCCACGAGTATTGGCAAGGCTTGTCACAAGTCAGGGTTCCGTCTCCCTGAGCGCCGTCGAAGCCGATGGCACCGGTGGGGCCCTCGGCCGCCAAAGCGGACCTCATAAGGACATAAATTGGAATTTTGATCAGTTTCTTGTTATGTCTGCCATTTCTCATGATCATGCAAGACCTATCCACCGGCGAGTTGAACCCAGCCACGATGATTTCTATATAGTCCTTTTGCTTGGCACAGGAGCCGCGACTTCGACGAAGCTGGCAAGCTCAAGGGGACTGCCAAGATTGAGGAAAAGTTCCAGATCGGCGACGTGATCTATCGTGCAGCAGACGAGCAGCAAGGAAAAATCATTGCCATGCATCCGCTGCATGTAGAGTTGCAAGCAGATGACGGTCATGTGTACAAGGTGACCGCAGATGACTTGCTGAATGGACCAGAGTGGAAGAAGGTAGCAGAGAAGAAGCCCATGGTCCCAGTGGCGGATCCTGAGAAGTGGCTCTTGGAGATGGCCATTGCACAGGTCAAAGCCGAAATGACAGTCAGGCTTCTAGAAGAAGGCACGAAGCTGCAGGGTTCTCTTGCGAAGCTTGAGATGTACTCCAAGCCCAAGGGTGTTTTCAGTGCTGCAGCGTCGGCAAAGGGAAAGCTTTGCTTGGCACCCTTGACCAACCGGCTTGAGTTGCAGCTCGTTGCTGACAAGAAGCCGCCGCCAACGGGTTCAATTCTCATGTGCGAACACAAGGTCGATGGGTCGCTTGGTGAATTTCATTTTGTGTCAATGCCATGTGCTGTATAACGTGCTCCCCAATCATCTCAAGGCATCATGTCATGTCTTGGGTTTGCTGCCCAGGCAGAAGTGCAAGATCTTCCTGCTGCCAGCATCAGGGTGTGTGGTGCCGTTTTGGAACCTTAGGACCACTAGTGAAAGTGAGGAATCGAACATGGAGATCACACACAAAAACAAGATCCCGATTGCCATCAACACGGATGCTGTGGATGATGGAGATGAGCTTGTTCTGTTTAGGCCCAAGAATGTAAAGCCGCCGAAGCCATTGGAACTTGTTGCGACAGCCAAGAAGAAAGCTAGGACATCGTAGCGGCATTTTTGCCGTTATAGTATAGCGACATCACAAACGAAGTCTTCAAGCCATCATTGACCATAGTCCTTGTTTTTGTTATGATTGTTTCCACAAGATTGGCAATGATGGTGATGCTATGACAGATCCTCTTGGCTAACAATTTTGATTTGAGTGCGAAAGCTGCTGCCAAAAAAACTATGCTGTTTACTCTGCTTATAGCCCTTTTTTTTAAACAGTCAGGCTTGCAAGTTTCATTGTCAGTTTCCAGTCTGACATGCAGGGCTGTGCTCGCTGTCTCGAACTGCGCGGCGTTGCTCGCAGTTTACCGAGCTCTCAAACTCAAAGGGTCGAACATTCCCTGTTGTTCACCTATTTGTTTTGCAGCCATGGCAAATGCAGTT